TTAGGATATATATTTCTCTGCTCCTGTGTCCACACTTCCTTGATCCCAACCATCCCATTTCCCTAAGCTCCCCCCCAATCTCCCCTTCTCACGTTTCTCACCCCATTTCCCCTTGGCCCCATGCCACCTCACCCCAAGTTCCCAGTTTTTGCCCGGCAATCTTGTCTACTTCCCATATCCAGGCGGGTGACTATATGTTTTCCTTTGGGTTCACCTAAATTAAATTAACTTTACCTCCAGAATGACCTCATTTAATGCTTTTAGTTTTTTGATAATTTATGCAAAGAATGTTTTTTTGAAATTTTATTAGAATATATTTGTTGAACAAGCTGGTTTTACTAACAGCATTTTTTATTCGTTAAGGTTTTCACTCCCTGTCACTACCTCCTCTGTATGTCCTACTGTTTAGACTCCTTTCTCTTCTCAAATAGCTCCCCTTAATTTGCATGTCTCATCTGTGTTATGTGTGTACATGTGCATTACCTGTATGTCTCTTAACTAAGTTTAATGTCTGAGAAAATTATGTGTTCTTTATGAATAGTCTGTCTTATTTCATTTATGGTGACCAGTTCTGTTCATTTTCCCAAGAATGACATAATTCATTCTACTTTATATCTGAATAAAATTCCATTGTATATGCATGCTGCATTTTTTACCTGTTTCATGTATTGATGAACACTTCAGCTTATCCTATAACATGGTTATTGTGAATTGTGCTCCGGTTGTCCCAGTAGAACACGTTTCTCTTTAGTATAATTGCTTATATTCCCAGGGGTGGTATAGCTGGATCACATGGTAGTTCTATGTTTACTTTCCGACACTATTTTTAGAACCGTACTATTTTCAGACACTGTTTGCCATCTATACCCTTTATTACTTGAAATATATCCCTCCTGCTGCTAACTGCTTTAGTCTGTGTGATATATTACACCTATTGTTGGTATATGTTTAATCATGCTTGCCTTCCGCAAATGAAATAAACTTGATTATAGTCTATAATTTTTATAATGTATTGTTGAATTGAGTTTGCAAGTATTTTATTAAGAGTTTTATGTCTATAATTTTTTTCATTTTCATTAAATTCTAAGAAGATTTCAATTTCCTCCCTGATTTCTTCAGTGAACCCCACCCTTGTCATTTAGGAGAATATTGTATTTCCATATGTTTATAGAATTTCTAGAGTTTCTCCTATTATTTACTTCTATTTTTACTCAATATTATCTGATAACTTATGCAAATTAATTTAATTCTTTTGTATTTTCCTGGCTTGACTGTAGTTTGTTTTAGAGAAAGTTCCATGGACTTCTACGTGGATGGTATATTCTGTAACTGTTGGTAACAAGATCTCTTAGATGCCTACAGTGTTCATTTGATCTATGACATTTTAAGTCTGATTTTCTCTGCTGAACTCCCATATGAATGACTTTCTGTCAC